ATTTATACTATCTCCTGCTGGTTCCTTATTATTTCTGAGCTCTGACGTGCTGTGTGTTCTGAAGAGTGCTTCTCCTGTTCATTCCATCAAGTTCTTTAAATCTTCTTTTGGGGCATTGTTCCACTCTTCCTTTAAAATTTTTCTTAAATCGGCCAAATTTTGAGGGTCTGGATTGTCGATACCTCTCCCAAACATCTCCTATACTTGCTCTATTGGGTTCATTTCTGGATTTCTGGGTGGACATATCATAACCTCTATCTCTTCTTATTGGAGGTAATTTTGCAACAGCCAAGCAACACGAGGTCAGGCATTGTCATATATTAAAATAAATTTCTCCCCTATATTTCTGGAAAAAGGCATCACATGTGGCTCTAGAATCTCCCTTTTGTACCTCGAATTCATTAAAGAGCAACAGTCCACCAAAACTAACTCCATAATGAAGTTTAAATTTATGCCTTCCCAAATTATCACTGAGCCTCCTCCAAAAGCAACCTTTAGAGAAATTTTACAATGAACATACCTCTCACCCTGCTTCTTCCACACTCTTTCAGGTCTGCCTGAAGGCCATGGACTGAATCTGGACTTGTCGATGAATAATACACAGCCCCAGTCCAGTTTAGATGCTCCTGGGCAAACCTCAAGTGCTGATCTCGGTGCTCCCTGGAAAGCAGAAATCCAGTTTCTGAAGAATGGGACATCAATCCATACTCATAAAGTCGTCTTCTCACTATTCACTCTGAAATTTGTACACCCCTGAATCGCTGTAAGAGATAACACAGACTATTTCAGTAGAATTGTGATCTCAAAGAGCATGAATCAAAAATCTGTCATTACGCCGGGAAATTGAGCTTGGATGAACTTGCTCCCTTCTTCTGATATGCCCTCAGTCTCACAATAACTAATAATCGCTCTGTAAGTCACGTATTGTGATCGCCCAAGCCTCTGTGCAATGTGTCTTTGTGAAAAACCTTCTTCCGCTAAGCAACAGTATGGACCGATTCCCCCTCAGTTAATTCCCTTATTCTAGCCATCAAAATGTCCTAGATTACTTCACAAGCAAAATTTGTTGTCTAATAAATAGTTTAAACACATTAAAATACATGGACGTATTCAAAACTAATGTAGAACTGTAAGAAAGATTCCGCAAAACGTGCTTAAGTTATCTTTTTAATCCTGAGGAGTGATTAATGTTTATAATTTGAGGATATGATTGATAATGGATTACCGTAATTCCATTCTGGTACCAGAGAAATATCTATTATTTTCATTAACAAAATAGTGGTGTCCGGCAATATATATATATATATATATATATATATATATTATATATATATATATATATATATATATATATATATATATATATACATATACTATCTCCTCCTGGTGCCTTAGTATTTCTGAGCTGGTGTATATATATTGTAACGTTCCTCTTTCCCTCCAAAATCAAACGAGTTTCCTTTTTCAATATACTATTTATTTTACACATAACATAAATTCTCAGGTTGGGTTCTGACAACTGAACACTCATTCACATTAAATAACTATAGATCTACACTAATTTACTAATTACTAACTACAGTTATATATAATTTAAAATAGTTTTATAAAATAATTTGTCCCGGTCTAAACTTTTGGTTCTATCCCTCTGTCCACATAAATGGCATTGTTAGCACTCACCCAAATGTTTACGCCTGCCAGCGAAATAATCTCTTCTTACTTACGAATGTCCCGTTTTCTGTACCACTTAATTAATTTCTGCTATGTTTTTTCTTCCAACATAAAATAATCTCCACTAGTGGCCTCTATCAACACTCGAACCGGCTAGTATTCCTTTTTCACTTTCTCACCTTGCTGGCTAGCACCTTCTCACTTGGCAGCTCGTCACCTTCTCTCATGACAGCTTGTCACATTCTGACTTGGCGGCTCATTACCTTCTCTCTTGGCGGCCGGTCACATTCTGAGTTACATGAGGCTTGCTTTTCCCACTATCCGCACGCACTTCCTCCCTGTAGTTGGTGCTGTTACCACTTTCGCGCACTATTAAAATGCCATGTAACCTTGACATTACATTTCTCCTCCGTTCCAGTTTAAAAAAAAAATAAAAATGGAAATTTAAAATTCGGTGAATTATTTACATTTTTTTTTTTTTTTCATATAAAATAATAAATTTAACTTTTGACATTCACACTTTTTACAATAGATTTCCCAACCTTGTTATCAAACATTTACAATTTTATATACAAAATTATTCAATTATTAACACTATATTACCTTAATCTACATACACTAATTACATAACTTGTTTATCTAATTTATGTACAGGAAAAGTAGATTGATATACAAGTAATAAAATAAGCTAAATACATTATTTACCAAAAGAAATTAACTGTATAATTCCCGTATCTTATGTATAATTAACTTACAAAATAACTGTTTAAATTACTTATATAACATTTAAAAATATATTTTAACTTGTATTATAGGAATAATCAGAGAGAAGACACTAATTAATTAAGACAATTTCTAACTTTCTTCTAAAATATGGATTTTACCTAGCAATATCTGGTGAAAACAACTTATTAAAATTTTAGATATTAATCTATTATCCTATCTACCAACAATGTAATTAGACTATTTACATTATTTACAAGTTATCCAGATTGAGTAACCTAACGATGGTTTCGCCATGACCCTCTAGCTCGTCAACAGAAGGGGTGCTAATTTAAAACCCTTTTTTATCCACTGGATAGGATAAAGACTACCGTGTCTCACTATAACATAATGAGCGACCTACCCTAACATGATCCAGGATCATATAACCCCCATAAAACTCATATTCTAGAATAAGTAGGATGACTGGTAATCCATTACACTCAAAATTATTCTTAGTGAGTCCATGGAACGACACTTCATATAATCCTGTTCTTTTTTTACTCCAGTCATCAAACTTTCCTAACTCATCTTTAAATCGTAGAGTTAACTTTTCTGGAATTAAAGGAACTTCCGAACTAAAATAATTACCATACTTTTCTCTGCTGGATTTTACTCCTTTCAACTCAATTTGAAACTTGAGAAGTTCTTTCTTGATATCTATAAGATTAACTGTATGAGTTTCTACTAGAAATTCTGTTGTCACTAATTTTTCATCAAGGGTTTCTTTATCTTTTCTTAAGAGATTTTCTGATCCAATATCAATTGAAGAATTAATTTTGCTAAGCTCTTCAGTAACAGTTTGCTTCTCATCACTTTCTGAGTGACCAAAAGTAGTTTTCTCATCCAGTTTAGTTTCTTGAACTTCAGTTATATTTGCAATAATTTGGGCTTCTAGGTTATTACAATCTTGTTTCAAAATTTTGTGTTCATTATTAGAAGTTTTTTCAGCCAGTGTAGTTTCTTGGACTTCAGTTATATTTGCAATAATTTGGGTTTCTAAGTTATCACAATCTTGTTCCAAATTTTCCTGTTCATTATTAGAAGTTTTTTCAGCCAGTGCAGTTTCTTGGACTTCAGTTATATTTGCAATAATTTGGGTTTCTAATTTATTTTCTTGAATTTGACTTTCCGAATCCCGCTTCCAAGCCTCCTGCTTGTTTTCAATACTACAAAGAATAGTCATTACTTGTTGAAACATACCACACACATCAGCACAACTCAAATTGTTGGCACCTATGTTTATTTTTTCACGCTCCTTATTATTTTCACTAAACTCCTGAATTTCATTTAATCCCGACGGACTTTCACACTGTCTATTTTCATCAAGTAGGCTTTGTACAACTGACTCTGCCTTATTTTCTACAATAACAACATTCCCTTTAGATTTTCCAAGAATTATATTATTAAGATCTCGAACTTCTACTATCTCTCTCTGCTTATTCTCCATACTACTCAAAAATTATTAATAAAAAAAAGTAAAATTAAAATTAACAAGGATTGCGTGTTCAGTTGTCGTGACTATGTACGTTTTCAAAAGCCACGCTAGTTGGACGCCATGTTGTAACGTTCCTCTTTCCCTCCAAAATCAAACAACGAGTTTCCTTTTTCAATAAACTATTTATTTTAACACATAACATAAATTCTCAGGTTGGGTTCTGACAACTGAACACTCATTCAACATTAAATAACTAAGATCTACCCTAATTTACTAATTACTAACTACAGTTATATATAATTTAAAATATTTTATAAAATAATTTGTCCCGGTCTAAACTTTTGGTTCTATCCCTCTGTCACATAAATGGCATTGTTAGCACTCACCCAAATGTTTACGCCTGGCAGCGAAATAATCTCTTCTCACTTACGAATGTTCCGTTTTCTGTACCACTTAATTAATTCCTGCTATGTTTTTTCTTCCAACATAAAATAATCTCCACTAGTGGCCTTTATCAACACTCGAACCGGCTAGGACTCCTTTTTCACTTTCTCACCTTGCTGGCTAGCACCTTCTCACTTGGCAGCTTGTCACATTCTGCCTTGGCGGCTCATAACCTTCCCTCTTGGTGGCCAGTCACATTCTGAGTTACATGAGGCTTGCTTCCCCCACCATCCGCACGCACTTTCTTCCCGTAGTTCGTGCTGTTACCACTTTCGCGCCACTATTTAAATGCCATGTAATGTTGACATTACAATATATATACATATATATATATATATATATATATATATATATATATATCCTATCTCCTTCTGGTGCCTTAGTATTTCTGAGCTGGTGTATATATATATATATATATATATATATATATATATATATATATATATATACTATCTCCTTCTGGTGCCTTAGTATTTCTGAGCTGGTGTATATATATGTATATATATATATAATGCAGTATTTGGTTGGTTAAATCAATTTTGATATCATTTTCAAGGGTACCGATGGTGTAATAAACTAAAATGAAAACTATAAATTGAATTTAAATTAAGACAACTAATTAATATAATATTAATGACTATCAGTTGCTATTATTAATATCACAATTTAAAATTCTACTCTATAGGTATAATTTAATGCTGGAATGTTGGAAAGAAAAACCTATGCTTCGACCTTCTTTTGATGAATGTGCTGAAAGATTAGGTCAGATGCTTGGTCAAAATGTTAAACAAGTAAGTAATTGTAAATTTTTAATAAGATAACTCATAATATTGTTCAATTTCATGAGAAGTCAGGTTTGAAATAACGAATAAGTATATTAATAAAACATCATGAATTATATCTCATTATTATTATTATGGAAATAATTTTTTATCTACAGCATCTATATTTTCCAAAATTGCAACCATTTTAGTTTACAATTTTTTTTCTAAACTTAACAATAATCAAACTGCAAAATTATTTTTAAAAATCAACTTCTCTCGCTAATTATTTTTTCAAGAATTGGTTCAAGTTTTTGCAGTTTAGAAAAAATATTTTTAATTTTGTTAGTAAAAGGCGAAAGATTTATTCATTTTGAAGGGAGACCAGGGATTCCCCACCCCCTTTTTCTTCTCTTATGATGTGCAGTATTATTACCAAGTGATGTCCAGTAAGATGCCCACTAAAAGGATTCGGTCAGACGGCGTTAGTACACTTCATTATTCACCAGCCAAACTAAGAACTCGTTGCTGCCTACGAGAAACCCCTCCAATAGCCACAGTGAATACTTCATGTCCAGGACCTCAGCCTCAACCAGGCACGTCTTCACAAGAAATGGTTGAAGAATCCTCTTTCTTTACTCCAAACCCGTTACAAGTGCTTCAGGATGACAGAGAAGTAATGGAGTCTGCAGCAATACCCAGGGACCCAAGGCCTCCTCCAATATTTGTAAAAAATTTCCAATTATTGCGTACACAACTAAGCAAAACTGCTAGGCAGTTATTCTTGCCTAAACAAGACCAATGGCACAAAATTAACACCAGATACTGCCGAAACCTACCGAAAAATTGTGAAGTACCTGTAATGAATGAAACTTTCCATACATTCCAGCTGAAACAGGAGAGATTGTTACGAGTGGTGATAAGAAATTTGCATTTCTCAACCCCAACTGAACTGATAAAAGAAGAACTAATGACGCTTGGTTTCAAAGTACATCAGGTAACCAACGTTCTGAAGTAGAATAAGGAGCAGTCAGAAGTAAAAATTAAAGTTCCACTCGTCTAACCTAAGTTCGTGGACCTAGAGCCATCACCTGGTATTCGAGAAAATATAAGAAATTAAGAAATTGTACTACATTATTGTGAAGATAGAGAAGACATACCCCAAGAGGGAAATCGTGCAGTGCCACAATTGTCAGGCATATGACCATATGAAGACTTATTGCCAGCACTTGCCGCATTGTGTGAAATTTCGTGAACAACACAAATCAGCAGAGTTCACCAAACCGATACAAGATCCTGCAGTTTGCGTCCTATGCCTAGAGAGACACCCAGCCAACTAAAAGGCTGCCAAACTTATAAGAACCTCAAATCCAGATACCAGTAGAACCGGATTCAAGATGAGACAACCAGACCAAGAAGAGAACCTTCAAGAATTGTTAATGATAATGTATCGTTCTCCGAACTACTTGGAGGTAAGAACCCAACTAAGAAATGTGAAGCCCTAACCATCAAAAACCTCAAATTTTTCATATTCCTCCTCCCTCAAATGCCACAGATCTCACCAGTTTGTTGTCATCATTCCTCATTAAATTCAAATCAATGGTTACCCCGCTCATATCACTCCTTACAAATCTAGTATCCCACCTCATCTTTCCTGTGAAAAATTGTCAAATGACTCCCATCAAACACATATATATTCTCCTTTGAAATGCGAATGGTGTTAGAAATCATGTTGACGAACTAAAAATTTTACTTCTAGACAAGAACATTGACGTAGCCCTAATTACAGAAACTCAACCAACCGGAAAACAGCATTTAAAAATTACAATGTACATAACATACTGTACTGACCATTCTGATTGTAGAGCACATGCTGGTGCTGCTGACATCGTACACCAATCCCTCTCTCATCACTTATTCCCATTGACTACTCAAGATTTCCTATAATCAACTGCTATTGTAATCAAAACCTTCTCCTTTCCGGTCACCCTTGCATCAGCATATTGCCCTCCTAACAGATCCATATCCAAAGTCGAGTTCAGTTCTCTCCTCAACTCCTTAGGTCATCATTTCATCCTGGGTGCAGACTTAAATGCCAAGCATCAAGAATGGGGTTCAAGAGCCATGAATTCTTGTGGCAGAACATTGCTGTCTGCACTCAATTCCCAATGTTTCAGTCTCCTTCCACCCAACTCACCAACCTACTGGTCCATTGATCCAAATCGCAATAGTGATATCCTTGATTTTTTTCATCCACAGTGGTTTAGGTCCCCTCAATCATTCCCTTACCTTTCTTGACAAACTCCCTCAGATCATAGTCCCTTAATACTTCAATTATCAATAGCTCCTATTCCTAAACCTCCTCCACCGTCTTTTATCAGAGGCCCAGTTAACTGTAAACTCTTTCATCAAATCCTTTCCGATAAAATTGACCCCAGAAAACCTCGATAATGCCGTACATTCCTTAACCACCACTATTCAGCAAGCAATCTGGACTGCTTCCTCCTCAAAAATTCTTAAGAAAAATAATTTACCTCAATACCTGATAGACCTAATTCACATCAAACACCATGCCAGAATATTATGGCAACGTGCAAGACACCCCACTGATCGCTGCTCTTATTAATACAGTGAATGATTAAATCAGGAATTGGACACCTCTCTCTCTGTTCATGACAATTCTCTATGGAAGATCACCAACAAAATCCTAAAATCCCATTATATTTCCCATCCCCTCCTGTCGATGCGATGGCTCCTTGGCAACTTCTGATGAATACAAAGCTGAGGAATTCGCCAGACCTCATCCGGAATCCAACCCCACCTATACCACAAAAATAGAAGAATTCCTTACATCACCCATTCCATTTTCCTTATCCCCTAAAGTAGCTAATCCTTCTGAGGTGAAACATCACTTACAAAAAACTCCGTAAATCTCCTGGATACGACCTTCTTACCTCTCAAAGCATTCGAAAACTTCCTCCTAAAGCTGTTATATTTCTCACTTACTCATATAATATCATCCTAAGAACCACCCACTTTCCTCTTTTGTGGAAACATTTCACTATTATCCTGTTTCCGAAACCGGGCAAACCTCCCAACACCTCGACATCCTACAGACCAATTAGCCTACTTCCAATCCTCTCAAAAATCTTTGAAAAGATCCTCCTGAAACAAATCCTACTCTTTATACAATCCCAAAATCTTCCTTCCCATCAGTTCGGATTTCGTTCACAACACTACAGTCCAACAAAGACTCCGAGTGGTCGATCATATTTCCACAGCACTGGAAAGCAAGAAAAGCTCGGGTGCATTTCTGGGCATAGCTCAAGCTTTTGACAGAGTATGGCATGCCGGGCTTCTTTCCAACCTGGAAATCTGTCTACCCCAGTCCTTGTACCTAATCCTCCGCTCCTACCTCTCTGATTGCACCTTTTGGGTTCGCTGTGGTACAAAATTTTCCAATTCCTACCCAGTTGAAGCCGGTGTTCCTCAAGTTAGCATCTTGGGCCCTGTCCTTTATATCCTTTTTACCGCTGATGACACCGCCATCCTATCATCCAGCTCAAATCCTGAAATAGCATCTTTAAATCAGCAAAGACACCTCTCCCTGATTGAGCACTGGTGTAATAACTGGCTCATTAAAGTGAATGAATCGAAATGCAAACACATTTCTTTCACACTCCGGCGCAGATCCTGTCCATCAGTCCACTTTAATTCCATCCAGCTTCCTTTTTCAGACACAGTCCAGTATCTGGGCTGCCTCTTAGACCGAAGATTAACTTGGAACCCATGTACTACAGTTAAAAGACAATAACTTAACTGATGATACGGCCAATTATACAGACAATCTCAACTTTCTATTGACAATAAATTACTGAACTGTGACTGACTCAATTCTTAGCGTCGAAGCGGGTCTGGGCGTCAAGCTGAGTCCGGAAGATCTTGATCACGCCATGAGACTCAAGCCCAAGCAGGAAGGGACACCAGGTCCAATTATTGCAAGATTTGTTAGACAGATGGTGAAATAGGAGTTAGTGCGGCAGCAAAGAACAAAGAGAGATTTCTCCACACGACAACTAGGCTGGGAAGAGAATGAGTCGCACCGCGTATATGTAAGTAAAGGCATGACACCCACCAATAAACACCTCTATTGGTTAGCCATGCAGAAGAAATTGACTGCAAAAATAAAAGATGTTTGGTTTAGTGGAGGGAAAATTCGCTGCAGTCAGATGGATACCCACCGGTGATTATAGGAAAACCCAGTGACCTGGTTTTATTATTATTCAGTTGAACTTTGTTTACAAGTTACCCTGAGTATGCATTTAATTTATTTTTTTTCCCCAGAAATATTTTTACTTTATTTTTTTTTATCTTCAGGTTTTTTATTTTTATATAAATGTAGCTTTTTAATTTTTTTATTCCTATTGAAGCTTTTTTTATTTTTGTATACTTTTATTCTCGACAGAAATATTTTGATTTTAATCTTTTTTATTTTCAGCTTTCTTTATTTTTGTATAAATGATTTACAACTTTATTTGATTATTTACCAAAATGTATTAATGTATTTAAAACAAGGGGATATTTATATTTTCTTATGCTATAAATTATATTCAACAGAATATTTATTTCGAAATACTGGAAATTCATTGTTTTCATTTTAACTTTTATTTTATGTTTGCAATTTTTAAATTTTTTAAAATTATTTTTAAACAGAATATTTGTTTAAAAAAAATGTTATAACCTATCCTTTATCCTCGATCCTTTTCTCCAAAACTCTACTTCCCAACTCTACTATTATGATAAATATTCTGAATTCCTGTCACATCAACGCCCAATCCCTTATTGCACACTACGATGAATTCCAGAAATATTTCCTTACAATTTTTACCACATAATAGCAGTATCTGAAACCTGGCTAAAACCTTGTTTCCCATCCTCCCAGATTTCCTTACCAGATTACTTGTTCCTACGTCACGATAGATCGCGTCGCATGGGAGGTGGTGTCGGATTATATATCCTTGACAGTCTTA